CCTGCGAGTACTTTGGCGACATAAATTCTTCTAGTGGAATTCGGTGGAATGTAAGGCACCCACATGTTGCAGGAGAGCTTGAGTGGGCCACTGGGTGAGGGGTGACAGAGGGTGCATGCTGGGGGGGCCGGTGAGAGGGTTAGAGGCTATGTGAGGACAATGTGACCGAAGGGCCTCTCTCTCTCTCTCTCTTTCCTCCACCGCTGCCATTACTGTCTCCACTCAGCACTCTGGGAGAGAAAACACTGGCTCTTTTGTATGACTTATAAGACAGACCACCCCTCCCTCCCTCTCTCTCTCGCTCTCTCTCTCTGCTCAGTCGGCCCTATCCTTCTGTGTAATGTGCACCTGCTCGGCTCACAAGACATCTCACACACACAAAAATACTTTAGAAAGAAGCTGAGTGAAAGGGAGAGACAGAAGGGGACTAGAGAGAAAAAAAAAATCCACATTCCACAGTTTTATCTACATCAGTGGTTCATATGTGAGTGAGTATGAACTAAGAAGCAGAATGTGTAAGAAATATTTCTCTCATCTTTTCTCCTTTCTTTCTTTCTTTCTTTCTTTCTTTCTTTCTTGCTTTCTTTCTTTCTTTCTTTCTGTCTGCCTGTCACATTTACAGAAGTTCCCCAATCAATTTCTTTCTTTCTTTCAGTCTTTATTAATGCACATAATTATTAACCCTGACTGAACTGAATCCTGTTGGGAAGCTGCTTTTCAAAAAAACTGTGTTCCTCACATCACCATTAAGATAAAGATAAATATGCCCAACTGACTGCCATTCTGCACCCTTGAAAACACATCCTCAGGACTGATTGTGTTTGCTCTTATTGGGGCTACATGATTTGGTGTTTTGCTCTTTTGTCACTGTAACAACACTCTAAAGATGCCACATTAACTTTGTGATAGTATATTGGTGTGAGTTCATTTTGACATATGCAGACAAAAAGCACATGTTTAAAAATGGCACTAAAATAAACTTACACAGAATAATGAATGAATAATGCAGGACTACATGCTGGACTGTGTTAACATTCATAGCACTTGTTTCTGGGTGTTGGGAAAGTTGAAGGGTATCCTGAGAAATAAGGCCTACTACTACAAAATGTCCTATTGTGGCTTCTATACTTTACTTTATTTCCTTCCATTAAAAACACACATCAATATAAAAGTCACAAGAATAACTTACTTATTTAAATAGCCACAGTGAGACATAAACATGCACTGTCTCATTTGATCTGATCTAGGGCTGCAACTGATGATTATTTTATTATTATTGATAAATCTACAAAATAGATTAACCTATGTTATTATATTAATATTGCTGATTTTGTTAAATTAAAAGTTTAAAACCACAAATATATTCAGTTTACAGTATAGTACAGTACATATGAAAACAGAGAAAACCAGCAAATCTTCACACTGAAGAAGCTTGAATCAGGTTGTATTTTTGTTTGAAAAATGACTTAATTGCACATTACCTTTCTGTCGGTCAACTACTCGACTAATCCATTTAGTTCTAATCTGCATAACAGTCAAAATGCCTCATGTGCTGGTCCTGAAATAGCTTCCTGAGCAGAAATCCACTGTCCATATTATTGGTATGATAAAAGGCTGGTTGCGTTGATAGTTATTCCCTATAACTGGGCCAATCAGTTATGTAACTGATGCCATGAATTTCATGAATAAGTAAGATGAATAAGTCACAAAGAAGAGATTCCCTTAAAACTTCTTTGGAAATAGGTCTAGACAACTCAGTTAAGACTTCTTGAAAGACAGACTCCTGAGGTTTAGCTTAGGAACATACTGTAGGAGTGTACTGTATTATATATATGTGTGTGTGTGTGTGTGTGTGTGTGTGTGTGTGTATGTGTGGGAGAAAGGGAAAGTTCTCCATTATTTATGCCCTGCAGTTAGGCAGCTGTGGAGCCTGATTGGGAATTACAGTATGACAGGAGCTGGAGAAAATAGCTACTGTAAAACATACTGAAGCCACTAAGAGGTAAAGACAGACAGAATGGGAAATGTGGAGAGACCGAGAGCGGACGTGAATATTTCACTTTCCCTCTGGAGAACCGTCACTGTGGACCTGATAAGACAATCCATAACCGGACCACAGGAACATATAATATGACAATTATGGATGTCACACTGCCTAATGCAGGCAGAGCAGATATGTTATGAATAGCACAGACATTTTAAATACGGTTCAGACACACATATCTGCTGCGCCGTGTGGACTCTTAACCTGTTGATGAACTAATTCATTAATCATTTCAGCTTTATTAGTATCACTTAAATGTAGGGTGTAAGAAAATATCGACACGCTTGTTTTGTAAAACTGTATCAATTCTCAAAAACACTGTATTGGCACAACTGTTAGATAGCAGTGTTGTAAATGTAAACTCTGTGATATTGGATGTACAGGGACTGTGATAAATACAAAAGTAAGTTTTATGCATATGGTGGTCTTTAATTTATAAAATTATAAAATTGTGAAATATTGCCTTGAATCGTAACCCCTGTATTTATACGTATTATAAAAGCCAGTTTCTTGCCAATACACAGCCCAACTGGAGTGCTACAGTATGTAGTAATAAAGAATAGTGGATAAAAGTTGCTACTTGCTCTGTAATACCTCAAGAACAAAAGTTTTTCTTTATAAACTCTCAGCTTTAACCCAGATTTGTCACACAAAAATATCTTTTGGGACCCACCGTGCTGGATTCCAAGGTGAAACTAATTTGAATCTGAGGGGGAAAAAAAAGATCCCCTTCTAATAGAAGGTCTATGTAGGCTGATTTGAATTGACTTCACTGTGTGTTTGTCAGATGTGTGCAGGGTTAGTGTGTGTGTCTGTGTGTCTGTGTGTGAGTCTCTGCAGGCATAACTGTGTCAAATGCCAGTGAATCTAAGCTAAAGTGTGGCAGTGGGGGGGTTCCTCTTTGCTCTCCAGTTTGGCTCTGCTGCGCTGTCAGACTCAACCACTGAGAGGATTTCCATAGCAGGGAGGAGAAGTGCTGGTTGGAATAGTGCATTACCGCCACACTCTGCCAACTAACATCTACGCACATTTTCTAAACCATTCATTATTCATTACTCCCCGCTGCCTTCCGCAGCCCAAACTCAAGAGTCTCGCCCTGAGAGCTGAACGGAAGCATGTTCTGGTTTCAGCGTACGGGTCTGAACCAGGAGTATGGGCTTAAAGGAATAAATTCAGTGCATTAAACGTTAGGACCTCAATCTTAATAGCTGTTTTAAAATATCCTCAATGCATGTTTAATATGTTTCTAAGTTTAGAAATCTTTTCATAGCTTGCATCCTCCAATTTATCTAGGTTTCCTGCTTCCTGAGTGAGCAAGTGGGTTTAATAGGTGATTCAGAATTACTGCTGCTTGCTTGCTATAGGTGTATATCATGGAGGAAACAAAGTCTAACACATCAAGTTGTTTCTTAAAAAATGACTTCTTTTTTTGGTAGCTGAAAATCACCTACATGGCATCAGTACAATGAAATGCAAAGATACATAGAAATAACTCCACATAAACACATTCTAGTCATCCTTTAGGAAAACTGAGTGTGTACCTACTGGGGAACCAAGTCACATGATACAGCTAATTAAAGACTTGCAATCCAGTGTAAAGTACATGAATATATGCTTTAAAAGATACAATAAAATATGATCATATTTGATTTAGGTCATGTCTCACAGTCTGGAGAGAAGCAAGTGAATGAATGTGGTCCTCAGTGTGTGTCCATTAACTGTCCTGTGACAAACTGGCAGCTTCAACCTGGGACATGGTGAATTTGGCAGGAATGGAGAGTGAATGAGAACAAGAATGAATACATGGCTTGCTATTATAGGATGAAGTTGATGAAGTGGCATGTTAAGTTGTAGTAATAACGCATGAAATTGTAATAGTTCAAGTCCAATGTCCTTCCGTCCTGGGACATCAACGTCTGTCTCACAAGTCTGTGACCTTGAGGAGCCCTCCCCCACACACACACATACACCCCACCCCTCCTGTATTCACACACACAAGTGGAGCAACAGTAGATTTCGACTTGGACAGGACATTGAGAGAAAAAATGCACAGACTAAATGTGAGTAATGCGACTGAACTTGCCTTTCAAGCTCCCAGAGCACATTCCACTGTATTTACACCGAAACACCGAGAGAGAGAGAGAGAGAGAGAGAGAGAGAGACTACATGGAAGTGAAGCAGGTGTAAAATAAGTCTAGGATACCACAATGTTTCCAGCAAAAAATAGATAAAAATGTTCACTAATGTGCCATATGTGCCTCTCTACACTTTAAATGTTTTATTTCTACAGCCTGAGGTAAGTGTGTGCACCCTGAAAACACACTGTCAGCATATGCAATAATTAACAAGTATTTAACCATGAATTACATTCAGTGCTCATGGCAACAAACGACAAAAACACCTCTCCAATCCGCGCTGTCCCGAGGATTCCTCGTTGCGTTTCCTGACTAAAAGGTATTTGGTGCGCGATTATGGAAGACTACGGCACATCCGCGCTCTGACCGCCGACCTCACATCATCCAGTCAACTTTCCCGACATCAAGGAATGCCAGTGGCATTCACGCATTCAGCCCGGCAACGCGTCCCTGTCTCTAATGACAGAATGCCATGCAACAAGGAAAAAAAAAAAACCAAGACCTGACTCAGCCCCTTCACACCTACAGCGTCGGACAGCTTACCTGCTCCGTGCAGGACGAGGGCGCACAGACGCTGGATGAGGAGCTTCGTTCAGTGTCTCCAAACCTCGGTCCAAAGCGGCACATTGCAACACAAATGATCCCCGCACAGCTCCAAGTTCCCCCACAGAGCCTTATTTCCATCCCCGTCGGCCACCATTGGAAAGCGCGCCATCGTGCGGCCGACGAGAGCGCGCGGCGCAACAGGTGGATTGAGGCAGGGACAGGTTAGGGTGCTGCCTTCAGGTACAATCGGGAACAATAGGAACTGTGATCACGTTTTATGACCTAACCAAGTAGCTCATGCATACTGATTAAGACTGGTTTAACTTAGTTTTTAGTTATACGCTGCCTAACATATTTTGCACACCATTTTACTGCATATATCAGTGTATATATTTTTCATTATAGTCTTATATTTTCTATTATATCTTTATAACATTCTAATTTTGCGATTATTTATTGTACTTTGACACTTTTTTTGCATTACATTCTCCTATGCTGCTGTGTCTGACTTGAATTTCTCCCACGGGGGATTAATAAAGGAACATCTTATCTTACTGGTCTTTTCTCAGCTGTTTACGTACAGAATATCAAAACATCAGGTGTCACTGCAAATGAGATTCTGTACTTTTAGTTGTAAGGCGTTCAAGACTTAATAAACCTCAGTGATGCTGGTGTGATTGATCTGGCATTCAGTTATATTTAATATTTTGACAGAAACATTTAACATTTAACTAACATACAATGGTACCTGTTGTGGCATCAATACCATGTTAACTGATGTCTAAAATAAATTAAACTTGTTGTGACAGGGTCATTTTTGCTCTTGTTTTCACCACCTAACACATTGTGATCTAATCATTCTGGGAGTTTACCAGGAGTTCTTGAAGGCAGCATGGTACCACAGATGTTGGATGAGGTTTAATGACCACAGTTCAATGTTTGCTAGAGTCCCATAATGATACTGCTGACAGCAACTATTTATATGGGGAGCAGAGGAAAAGATACAAAAAGTTCACTGTTTGTCTTAAACATATTATATCAGGATAGTACTAATGAAAGTAGAAGCACTAGTAGCAGTAGTATTGTTTAAATAAATAATTACAATTGTACAAAACCATATGAGGGCTGTACCAGAAAGGATTTAGGAATATTCTTCAGTCTATTAGAAGCGTTTACTGGCCTGAACTAATCTTGTTTATGTATTTAAATCCATATGATCAGTAGGTGGTGGTATTTCTCCAGACATCAGCCAGCGGAAGTGAAGCTAGAACATATGTGAGCGGTTTCCGGCGCGTCAAAGTAATAGAAGTCATGAATGCACCTTTGCCTTCAAAATAAAAGCACATGATTTGACACCTTTCAGTGGTTACTGGTTTGAAGTTAGCACACATCAGCAATTATATTATAATAAATAATAATAAACCTATATTGAAATATTGGAATTATTAGATTAAACTGAGTAAGTTTGTAAAATAATTGCGATAAAGCGTATTCTACAAGGGCTACATGGATTTCCTGTTGAAAAATGGTCTGTATTTTGTTTTACACACGTACAGGCCGCTGAATACCAAACAGACAACATAAAGGATATCTTCTATCTTCTAATCTCTATTTTACATTATACATGTAGCTGTTGCTGTGATGCTTCTCCATAGAATTGCATCCTATTTGTGCAGTCAGTGTATCCAGACCTATGTGTAAATGATACACGCAATAAGACATTATTTACTACAAACCCATCACGAGATACGGTCCTTATTATCCTTTTCCTAATCAGACATTTTCCAAATATAGAACGGATATTATTTTGAAAATCCCCACCGGATGTTGTGATGCCACCCAGGATGTCTTGACACTTGAGGGACAACAGCGATGGATGACAACATCAGGAGCTAATCTGTGCCGCTCTTCAAAGGCTCCACCACTGTTCACAGAGCTGGTGAGGATGTGGGGGAAGTTGAGGGAGACCCACAAACACTGTGCAGTCTGTACCGAGTCCCTTCTGTCAGGTGAGCGCTTACTGGAAGCTCATTGGAGCCATCTTTGTTTGTTAGCTTCCTCATCCTCCAGTCTATGGGAGTTCTTCTAAACAATGACAGTGTCTAAAGCTAATGCATATTGAGCTACAATGAGCCCGTCGCTGTTTGTCTGGGAGTAAACAAGGTGTCCTAATGAGGTAAACATCACAAATATGGAAGCATTTCCCGATATATATAGGCGTAATTATTAATTTGGTTATAACTCTTCACATAAGCTTCACATTCCTCACAGTTTTCGTTGATTTTTAATTCATAGGCTGGTTTATTTGTCTCTTGTAGGCTCGTCAAATGACAGAACAAAATCTCCACACATCCGTTTTATGAGGTAGGTAGGTGTGTCAGACCTGATTTCATCAGGTTTGTGTTCATGTTGCCAGAATAAAACACACATCTACTTACGATTTGGAAGCAGCGCTAGCAGCAGGAGCCAGGAGGTCAGAGCCTGGAGGTCAAGCCGGAGGCGAGGTCAAGCCAGAGGACGTTCAGAGCCTGGAGGGTCAGAGCCAGGAGGACGTCAGAGCCAGGGAGGTCCATGACCAGGATGGTCGAGAGCCAGGAGGTCAGAGGCCAGGAGGGGAGGTCAGGAGCCCATGGAGGTCAGAGCAGGGAGGAGGTCAGAGCCTGCAGCCGGCAGACAGAGCCAGCATCTCGCCATGGCCACTGCACGCTTCCCCGGGAAGAGTGTGGACGTGGCTGCCGCCAACTGGACGGCCCCGGCACTGGGCCGTCCAGTGTGTGTCAACGGGACACCGTGGATCCTGTACCTGCTGGAGGAGTGTGTGGATAATGTGTGGGAATACTGCAGCGTGGTGATAGGACTCATATCCATGTTCTGCTTTCTGCTGTCCACTTTACCGTAAGTATCAAGTGTTGGAGCCCGAGGTGAAACTGAAAGTGTTTGTGATTATCTATCTATCTATCTATCTATCTATCTATCTATCTATCTAGGCAGGTCTACGAGGCCTATCGGAACGGCAAAGTGGAGGAAGCCATGTCGTTTGGCTTTCTTTTCTTCCTCTTCAGTGGAGACGTGACCAGCTTTGCAGGCTGCTACCTCACCAGCCAGCTGCCCATTCAGGTGAACACACACACACACTCACACCGACACTAACCGCCTATCCTGTCTCATTTGTGGCTGTTTTGTGACACCTTGGATTGTGTATGTCTGTACTGTGAACTCAGGACGGGTCATTTCCTCTCTTGTCCCTGAAATTGGACAGACAAGCTGAGCTCAGGTCTTTTTTTTTCCTGCAGGCATTTTCACGTGTATGTGTCTCTACTGTTGTGTTTGAAACTGGCAAATGTTTTATGACTTTTTTTACGTTTTGTCGCCATCTTTAGCTAGAAGAACATTTCAATGGCACAAGACTCCTGGGGTTTTGAATCTTAACATGAATTGGTGAATTGAAAATGAACCATTGCACAGTACTACCAGTCCCAATCATGTAAAACTTGTTCTCATTGTACCTTTTCCTTAGTCATCACTAAACAGTATGAACTTCTCTACACATAGCCAACAAATGTTATGAGTGAAGTTGCAAAATCCGATTTTAGAACTAAGCTGTGAATGTCTTTTTCCCATGTCGATCTCTCAGGTAGTCACAGTGGTGTTCTACATCTTCACAGACCTGATTCTCATCTCCCAGTTTCTCTACTATAAGATCAAGAACAGCTCCAGCAGAAGTAAGCCCCGACATTATCTCTGCTCGAGTTAAAATGGGCTGCTGAGTGATACCTTTGCTGTGTGAGTCAACCTTATCGCTACCCTCCAGATGAATGAAAAGCATAACTATGAGGAAGGAAGTTATCCTGCTGTTGGCAAAATAACAGCACGACATCAAAAAGTGAAAGTAAGAACTTGTCAGCTGTAAAACGCTGTCACCTTACTGCCTGTATGAAGAAAATAAGAACCGACACATCTGGGATCACTGCTCTATACCTCACGGATGCTGAAGAGGTCATAAATACTGTAATTAAGAGTGTTTCGTGATGAGAACACTTCTTTTCTGATAATCACGCTAAGTTACTGTGTAAGCTTTCCCACTGGGCAGTTTCTCCCAGATATACTGAGATTATGTTGATTCCAACCCTCATAATAATCAGTGAGCTTACTAATAGATGGTAATACGGTCTTAAACTTTTACATTATGATGTAAATATTTGTTCCGCAGATGAGATAAAAACAACAGGAATAGAAAAATCTGTGTTGGTAAGAAGTCAAAAGATCAGCCACCTGCTGACTCCAGACATTACAGGGACAGTTCCAGCTGTTATGTATTTATGAGTGGTTACCACTAAAGCCAGAAGTGCATGACTGACTAATGATACATCTTACAGCGACGTATCAAAGACAGCACACAGCTTTGTTAGTTTTATTTTACGCAGCATTTGATACTGGCTACTTTTAATGTCAAAAATGTAATCTTTTGTGTTGCACTTAGAGTAAAACAATAGGTGCAGACACTATGTGTAGACGTCAGCTAATGCAAAGGATTTGGGGACTCTTTGCTTGTGTCTTCACTGTCAGTTCTTTGTTTTTTGCTCCAGAAAGCCCTGTGTTGAAGTGGCTGTGCTTCATGTGGTGTGGTGCTGCTTCCTTAGCTCTGCTGGCCTTACCCAAACTCCTCATAGACAATAGTACAACTTTAGACACCCAGGTAGGTAAATTGTGTGAGGTATACTGTATATATTTGCATATATACTAATGCGGGTAGTCATTAGATTTAAGTGTTCATACATCAGATTTGTGTTGTTATTTGTCCTGTTTATTGACTACACATTAACTCACTTTTGACTGCACATTGTGACTGTACTGTTTCTTGTGTAGGTGCAGTATTTTGACCCTTTTCACCCTCTCTCTCTCTGTTTTCTCATCGTTGCCAGAGTCCAACTACCTCTAAATCAGTGGAAATCACTGGCTATATATGTGGATACCTGGCGTCTGTCTTCTACCTCTGCTCTCGTTTGCCCCAGCTTTATAAAAATGTAAGTGACTATTTGTTGGTATGATTTATTTGACATGTAGAGTTTGTTTTCCCCTTTTCTCTCTAACGTGGTCTGCATGTGAGCCGTGCCATCCTGACGGGGAGATCTTGGACAGCGTTCTCAGGGTCTGATCCCAGGAGGGCCATGGAAAGACAAACCGTACTTATTATTTGTCCTTTAGTCATAAACGAGTACTGTGTTTATGTGTTTGACGAGGGAGGTGGGATTTGTGTGTTTGTATATACAGTATGCGTGTCAAAATGAGAACCAGACGTTGGAGACAATGGTGCTGTTGTGCTTGGAGAAACATCCTGGCTCGACTTCAGCTATTAATCACCAGAAGGGGGATGATCTTAGTATGCTGCCAGTGCCAGAGAAACTCCTGGGCACACACACACACACACACACACACACACACCCCTGATTATTGTAAATCGTGTAAGTCGGATTTGCCCCGTGAAAATTCCTACATGTTCAAACGTTTTTTTTTTTTAGCAGAAAGCCCAAAACATTTGAACCTTGTCATTCCTAGTGGCAGGTGACAGTTTGGCGAAACAAGAAAAAATATTGGGGAAAAAAGTAGTAGAGTAGATGATTACCTTCAGTAATACTATGGCAAACACTTGCTTCTTGCCTAGTATTGTTTGAGTCCAGCTCATGTAGTAATCTACAGGGCATTCACATTGTGCTGGGTATAAAACTCCATTATTCAGTCAAGGTTAAAAGGTTTCTATGGTTTCACAATATTGGATGGGTGCTCTCGTTCCTGGTCACTTATAATAGGAGCGATGAACTCAGTTAGCGTGTGTATTTCAGCTACACTGACAGAACAGTTCCATGCTCGACACAATACAGTGTTTGTTTGAAGAATGAATTCATTGTTGGTTATCATTCCTTCAGGGGGTTTGTTGGTGGCAATAAAGAGATAGTATAACACCAGCCTTATCGTTTCAGTTTGTTACGGTGGTCTGTCTCTGTTTGGAGCACAAGTACACCGAAAGTTATGCAATTGTTGTGTGTGAAACTGAAACCTGGCATGTAGTTAACCTGTATTAAATGTAACAACCTTTTCTTTTTTGTCTTTTATTTTCTATCCATTCTAGTTCCAGCGGCAGTCTACAGAGGGCACCTCTTACCTGTTGTTTGCCCTGGCTATGATGGGCAATGGGACATATGGGTTGAGCGTCATCGTGGTCCTGCCTGCTCTGAGGGGCTCCAAACAGACCTTCATCATCAAACATCTGGCCTGGCTCATTGGCAGTCTGGGAGTCCTCATACTTGACTTCTTTGTATCCTTCAACAAAATGTAGGAGTGTCGAATACTCGTTCACATCCTAAATTATCTATATCCAGGCATACAGTAAGTATCTCTGCACATACATTATGTTTTAAATGACAGTCAACATGTTATTTGAGCACTCTTGCTATAGATGTTAACTTATTGTATATATCACATGATATGTGCTAATTGTACTAATGAATTGCATTTGAACAGTGCAACTTTATGAAGTGGCAACGGTTGTCTATGTAGTGTTTTACAGTCTTTGAAAGGTTATATAAGCGCTTTCACAAAAATACTGACTGACATGTTTGAATTATATGCATGTCACGTACTTTAAGTAATAGTTTGACATTTTGGAGGAAGTTTGTTAATTCACTGTATTGCTGAGAGTTAGATACCGTTCTCATGTCTGTAAACTCCAGCTAGCAGCCTGTTAGCTTACATAAATACTGGACGGTAGGGGTGGGAATAGGGCGCTGGCTCTGGTCTGAAGGTACCACCCTCTCGTTTTGTACCCTTGGACAGAGCCAGGCCAGCTGTTTTCTCCCAGCTTCCACTCTTTGTGCTAAGCTACCTGGCTGTAGCCCAAAGTGTATTTCCCCTGTTTCTGTATGAGCCTTGACCTTGTCAGGTGACTGCCCAGTTCATCCTGTACAGGAGGAACACCTCTACTAAAAGCAGCACGCTAATCAGCATCCCAGAAGTAGAGCCTCTTCTGTGTGAGGAAGTGGAACTGTCGGTGTTATAGGACACACAGCGGACGACAACATGGACCACTTACACAAGAATGGACTGGTCAGTCTGTGGTTTGCTTTTGATAATTCAGTGGCTTCTCGGTGGTCATTGATTTACATGTTTCAACTTAAGAGAACAAAGACATTGCGGAAGTCTTGTAGAAAGGATGATATGTTCGCAATTCTAGGCGTCTTTATAGTCAGATTTCTGCTGGGAAAGGACAAACACCAAACGATCAACCTCTTCTATTGTTTAAATGTGGTAATAAGCAGGAAAATATCATGCTCAATACATTCTTTCTGTTCACTGGTTAGGTGTATAAATTTAGTACCACTTTAGACACATTTCTGTCTGAGTAAACATGACTGAAATCTTTTTCTGGTAATGAGTGCTGTCATTTTTGATTGTTCCCCTGGGATTTCTTAATTTTGTTTTGGATGGAATAACTGTGTTTTTATTTGCCATTGGGGACTGTACACACCCAGAGGAGGGGGGGGGGGGGGGAAAAACC